TTCTCGAAATGTGGTCCTGAAACTAGTATTGCAGGATTTTCCTACATCAGCAGGACCAAACCCGACAAGAACCTGAATATCATTTTAAAATCATCGGCCCGACAGGCTTGGGTCAGGTATCTTCACTCAAATACGGAGGCATGATTTTTCAGACCCATCAGTGGGGTAGTTTCTGTCATATGTCATGGTGCCATTATTAAAAACCCACAGGTGAACTGGTTGTTTATTGACAGTGTTTGTTTGTTTTTTGTCTTTTCTTTACCAGATGTTTGTCAAGTCAAACCAAGGAGACGAGGAGACGACAAAAATCAACTACCTGACATTCATAGGCACCCCAGTACAGGCCACCAACATGAGTGATTTCAAAAGGGTACGGAGCAGCACGTGTGAGTTTGTGTTCACTGTTTGTGAGTGTGTTGTACTCACTGACGATTTATTTTGGGTCGTTGTAGGTCGTGGGGAAGAAAGGAGAGAGTCACTGAACAGGAGGATGAAGAGGAAGAGACGAGGAGGCTACAGATACATGATCCAAGAACTTTCATTCTGCCAAAGCCACCACACACTCTGCCGACAGACACACACTCAGCCTCCAGCTGTCCTCCTCGTGCTCTGAATGAATTCTCCGTCTGTGGCGTCTACAAACCATTTGTATTGTAATTCTGATGAAAATCACTGTAAATAAAACACAAACCTTTTTCAAAGGCATGTGCGTCAGTTCTGCTCTTTGTGGCGGCGGCGAAATGTGAGTTTCTGATGAGCATATCAACAACAGAGGAAACAAAGATTCATCTTGATGTATTTCAATCTACCACAATTTCCTATTTTACTGCACGTGGCTGTTTTTTCATCAGCTAATATTAGTGAATAAAATCAGTCTACTAGAAAGTGCTTTAAAAAGTATCACACACTGACTGTTACTTCAAATGTGCTGTACTTTAGGCTTTTCAATTCAAAAATCAGTCTACAACAGAAGTGACAGTGGTCAATGCTCTCCACACTGATCAGATATTCAGTTTAAACTTGTGTGCTGCACCTAAAGCTGATAAAAGCCGTCACTGTATCAAGGTGAGTGTGTGCATGTCCTGATTGAAATGTTGCTCCAAACATAGGACTAAATATATTAAAATATCATGTAACAATTGAGTAATAATAATTAAATTAATGCTTATTTCATTTTCGACTTGTGCGCAAACTGTTTTCATTTTTCATGCGTAGTAATTAATATGTTGCCCCTTGTAAGTTGGACTGATGTTTAATTAACCTTATACACTTTCTGGCAATGACAGTGACAAACTTAATTTCAATGGTGAAGTACTTTGGCATACTACTTTACTTCGATGACCAAGGTCTAGTGGTAGATGATACATGTCTTTCTGTTCAAAGAGGCAGATATCTCAAATGTTTTTTTTAATCAAATACAATTTGATAAATGGGAAACTGAAGCCATCAGAGTAAACCAACACTACCAAGTCTAGAGTGAGAGAGAGATTTTTTTATTTGTTCTCTTAAAGGTACAATTTGTAGAATTTTGTGATATCTAGTGTTGAAGTTGCATGTTGCAGCTAAACTCCCCTTCACCTCACCCTCTTCTCTTAAAGTTGAAAAAGAAACTGTGGTAGACATGGTGATTGTTTGTATTGCCTCCATAGAGAGAACCCCCTCGATGTAAATATAAAATATTTAAATATAAAGGATCTTTTCTGTGGTAAAGAAAACTACAATTCATACAATTTAGATTAAATGAACTAGTGTAAACATCATGAGGATTATTCAACATTAAATATCTGCCAATAGTTCCCTTTCACCTAAATCTTATGCACTGGACCCTTAACTACTAATAAAATAAACAGAAAATCATTAAAAAAAAATGAGATACATCGGGAGGAGAAAGAGAGAGAGAGAGAGAGATGTTTCTCTCAGTTTTTACATTGAGAAGAGTCGGGAGATGGCACTCTTTTTGGACAGCTGACGTTCCAAAGATGTCTATTATTTCCAATCCATTCTCGACTGCCAATTCCACTTTCGCCTTCTCGTGTGTCCTCGTGACAAGCTGGCTCACGATCAAACGGACTTAAGTGTTTCTCTGGGTTTATGACATCTCGTTTGCTCTCTTCTCCTTCATGTCATCAGGAGGACAGAGAGAGAGAGAGAGAGAGATGTTTCTCTCAGTTTTTCCGACATGAGAAGAATCGGGAGAGGACACTCTTTTTGGACAGAAAACCTTTCAAAGCTGTGGCGATGCATMTCTCAACCTCTGGGTTCTTCAWACGCATTTCAACCAGCAGCAGCTCTGGACAGGGCCACATCTTACGTAGATCCTTGAAAATGATCTTGTGTGGTATTTCAATGTTTTTATGGGTCAGATTTAAGTCAGCGTCTTTCAACTCGGCCCATGTGTTGTTGAACAGATTCTCAATTATTTCCAATCCATTCTCTACTCCCAATTCCACTTTAGCCTTCTCGTGTGTCCTCGTGACAAGCTGGCTCACGAGCAAACGGACATACATGTTTTTCTGGATTTCTGACATCTCGTTTTTTCTCTTCTTCACTTCAATGACCTTTGGGAGCTCTGGTGTTACTGGTGAGATCCTACAAGCGTCCATCACCCTGTTGGTGTGGCTATCAACCATCTTGTTCACAAACCAGCTCATGATTGATAGGAAATATGACACCTCCTTCTGTATGTCTCTGTATATTTTGGTATGTGACTCAGGAACAACCGCTGTGTTTGTTGAATCTAGAGAGATCGCCTTATTTGTGACGTACAAGTAGAGGAGATCAGCGATTCCTTTTGTAAACAAAAGAACTCTGTTAGGTGGAATACTTTTCATTTTTTCAAAGACACAAGTCTCATCTTCAGTCGTCAGCCTCATCTCTARCTGAAGCAGAGAGTAAATGTACGACATCAAATTCTCTATTGAATGCTTGGTCTTTCTTGGTTTCTTCTTGAAACACTTKTTGACTTTAGTCACAATTTTGAAAATCCAAGCTGTGGCAAATGTCTTTGCAAAAGTGTTCTTGATCTTCCTCTCTTGTGCTTCACTACTCTTTCTCTTTTTGGAGTGGAGGCCAGGAACTTCATGTATAACAATTTGCATGCTTTCCACCATGACCGCCTTAATAATTGCCTCTGCAGCATTTCTGATCTCCTCAGAAGAATTCTGCTTGATGATCTCATCAAAAATGTGCTCTGTGATGTCAGTCACCTCCTTGGAAATGATTTTCTCGAAATTTTTCCTTTCCTCACTTTGAACACTGCTGTATGTTGCCTCAACTGTTGAGCATGAGCAGCTCTCGCTCGCTTCGCTCTCTGCAGGGTCCTTCTCCTGTGAGGGAGTGATCATGCTTCGACGCTTTCGCATCTTGCACCCGTAAAAGCAACAGATTTTAGCAGCGAATTTCTTGAACATCTTGCTGATTATATGGATCATTTTGTCCAGTTTGACAGGATCTGTGACATGGGTCATTACTGGCCCCTGAGAGGGCACAGAGGTGGGACTATTAGTCAGGCTGGAGTTGATAGTGTCAGTCACCTCCTGCACAACCAAGTCTGTGAGATTAACCAAATCCACAGACTCAAGTTCACCGCCCGGTGCAAAACTCGCCCTGATTGTGTCGCCCAGACTGGACCGAACATCCTCCTGAGTCACAGTTGAGAAAGAAAGAGTCTTCAGCATGGCTGTTGAAACTGTTGACAGGATGTCAAGAAAAAGCTGTGCCAACAGAACATTTGTGACATTGTCCGGTTTGCCTTTCTTTAACAAGCTCCACTCCTCTGTAGTCAGCCTTGTAAAGAAGTTCTCAATGAGCGGCTGAATGGTCTCGATTTTTATGTTGGGTTCGGTCTCTGAGTGGGACGACATGGTGATAGTTTGTATTGCTTCGTTGCTTGTCTGAAAATGTTCCAAAGTGTTGAGTTATCTCGTCCAGTCAAGGTCTTGTCTGGAAGTGAAGAATTCCAACAATGAATAATATATATGTATAAGTCTTCATGGCAGAATCCTTAAGGAACAAAGAACTTCAAAGACAAGTGATTCATTAAAGGTCTTCTTTGGGAGGAAGTGAGATCAAAGGCACGTTAAGCCAATTGGACCATATCATAGCCTGTTTCTGTCCTTTGAAGACCGCGACTCTAAAGACAGTGATAGACTCAATAAAAGCACGATAGGACAGTGTCATGGTTCTGTCAATATGAACATAAGACATTTCCCTTCAACAGTAATAACGGTGGTGCCCCTTTTTGCAGCAAAGCTCAGTTTGGAGTCAACAATAGTCCCGAGTTTTCTAAAATCGATCACCATATCCTCTGTTTTTGATACGATGAGTCACAGCTTCTCTTCCATGTTTGGAAGGGGAGGGTGAGGTGAGGGTTATTCAGCTGCAACATGACAACTACCCACTAGATGTCACTAGATTCTACACAATGAACCTTTAGATACTACATTTAAAGTTACAGTGTGTAGAATTTTGTGATATCTAGTGTTGAAGTGTCATGTTGCAGCTGAACACCCCTCACCCCTGAAATGAACTAATAAAACATCATGAGGATAATTCTAAATTAAATGTCTGCCAATAGTTTCTTACACCTCAATCTTACACACTGGACCTTTAATTGAGTTAATGCTTCATTTAATTACGTTTCATATTAAATCAAAAACTCTATTTAATTTAATTTAAGGTTTACGTCTCCTCACTGTCTTAATTTATCTGACAGCTGCAAATGAAACAAATTAACAACAGCGTGATGTCAATGAATACAGGTCACATTTGAATGCTTCTCTCATATCAACAACAACAACAACAATAATAATAACAACAATAATTATAACTATCATCATTATATGAAGAAGAAGAATCATAAAAATATGAGGTTGACAATTTTATGGGAATTCATTTTTTGGGTAGATGTCTGCACTTGTTGTATCAGAATCACTGTTGATATTAAAAGGAAATAGATTAATGAACAATTAAAAGGGTGGAACACGAAAACTCTGACAGAGCGGAACCTTTGTCAGGAACCTGCAGCCGCACGGAACCTTTTGGTGAAGCGCTGCTCCGTCACTGTCTGACGCAAAGTTTCGTGCTCGAGGCTGAAGCGGCTGCACCGGTCCTCGCTCCCCGGGTCTGTCTCCCTCTTCTCCCGTAACAAAATCCAGTCAGTCGCCCCTGCTGCTCGGACCGTCGCGATCATGGCGGAGGTAACGAAAGGTGTGGAGCAAGTTTCCGTGGGTAAGAAAGTAGCTTAGCTCGTGGGATCTCCCATGTGTCCGCGTATTGCATCAGTTGACGTTAGCAGCTAGCATGTAGCTGACGTCGGGCTGTCACTGTGCCTCTGTACGTTCTGTATTCGCGTGGAGCAGCTTTGTATTAACTCGCTAATCACAGATAATAGCAACAGTTAATAATAACGACAACGCTCAGGCTAACACCCAGCAGAGACAGCTAGCAGATGTTAGCTTGTTCTGCAGCAGCGGCAGCGGCTGAAGGGCTGCGTCAGTTATGGAGTCAGCCCGGAGCCCGATCTTTATCTCGCCCTGTGCTTCTTCTGTTCGACACGTACTTTATTTCATTTATGTGTGTTTCTGAAGTAACAGTCGGCTCATCTGTTAGCTCATCTGTTAGCTCAGCCAGGTTTCATAAAACACAGTTAGACTTTTATTTAGAACATGTTTAAAATCAATATCTACTGTTTTGTCTTCAAGAGGTCTTGAGAGCTCAGAGCTCATTTTCAGTTCTGGCAGAAGAACGTGTTGAACCAGGCGTCAGAACCTCCTGCAGGTTGAACTGGATGAACCAAACACTCCAGGCTGATTAACTCTTGACAGATCTGAAAGATGTCCTTCAATGCCTTGTGAATATCTCCTGATGGTTTCTCTCTTTGGTTTCTGCAGTGATCAGAAGTCTCCTTCAGCTCGCTCACCACAAACCTGACTACCTAACATTGTCTCTGTCGTGTGCTCGGAGGTTGGTAGATGAATCCGTGTCATGATCCGTGTCTCACTCTGCTTGTGTTTCTCAGGTGAGCTGTACGTGTCGGATAAATGCGGCAGCGACCAGGATGGAGACGGCACGGAGCAGAACCCCTTCAAAACTCCCCTCAGGGTAAGAGGCCAGGCAGAATAACGTGCCACTGTCGTTTTCTTTAAATATTGATTGTGACTCCGTTGTAATAAAAAGCTTCATGTAACTGGATTTTGTTGTTGTTAGTGGTGGAAACGCTTCCAGAGATCGTTTTGAAATCATGTGTCTGTATTTATGTCTGAATCCTCACAGGCTCTGATGTCCGCTGGGAAGGAGCCGTTTCCAACCATCTATGTAGACTCGCTAAAAGAGTCTGAGGTTGGTTGTTATTATATTATATTGCTTTAATGCCTGTGCACCAGCAGAATGCAGCATAGAAATAGTTTTGAGGAAACATCTTCAAACATCCACTTTCACTTACGGAGGAACCGATTAAATGTTTGTGCTCAGAGGTTTTTTTTAAATGACTCGGCATTTTGACAAAACTCATCACAGATGAGACATCATTTTTTTATCCAGATGGTCAAAGGTCTGCGTTGCTGTTTCTAATTCACTGCGTTTTTATCTCCGTCTCTCAGCGTTGGGCGGTAATCTCGAAGACGCAGATGAAGAATGCAAAAAAGGCCTTTAACCGTGAGCAGAGCAAGAGTGATGCCAAAGAAAAGAAGGAGGTGTGTAAGATAGTGAAGCTTAAAAAATAAAATAAATGCGAGATCTTTGGTTTTTACTTGGCGTCCTGTTGTGCAGGCGGAGGACAACGAGAGGAGAGATAAGAACCTGGAAGAAGCCAAGAAGATCATCATTGAGAAAGACCAGAGCCTCCCTGAGCCTGAAGCCGTCAGTTTCTTAATATTCACATTCCTTCTCCTCATATTTCACCTTTATTCACTCACTGCATGTTGGTGAAAATAGACATCTAACTTTTAGTCTAATGATTTTGTCATTAACCCGTCATTTCAACCTGTTATTTACCACTTATAACACGGATATGAATATTTAGAAATGATTTACATTGCATTGTAGTGTTATAAACAGATTTAAGGGCATTTTACAGTCAATAAATCTTCAGAACATAGGAAGATATTTTTATAATATGATTAAAACAATATAATGAATCATAAGACTTTATTATTAACGATAGATTAAAGGAACAGTATGAAGCTTCATACAGCACAAAGTCTAATAACAGGGGAAGTCAGCTCATTAACATCATTGTTGTTAATTTAATTTGTGGAAAAGCTGAAGTTGAGGTTTGGTGCTTAGCTCTTAATTTAAAGTGTTAGAGAATGATTTGCATTTGTGTTATGCAGGTTAAAATTCATCATCTGGAGTCAAAGAGAGGTCAAAGAGTCAAAGTATTTGGATGGATTCATCGCCTGAGGAGACAAGGTGAGGAGCAGGACACACGAAATCTAAAATAATGGGTTCATATCCACCTGACCTGTTTTATAATGACGCCTTAAAATACAACACAAAACCAAATGTGTTTCACTTTAACCTGAAGTTTTATTTTTGTGTCTTACAGGGAAGAACCTGATGTTCATTGTGCTGAGAGACGGAACTGGTTTCCTCCAGTGTGTCCTCTCTGATAAACTGGTACGAAATGTGTGTTACTGATTTCCAATGAGCCAGAGGACAACAAGTGCTCTGTTACTTTTAGAAACCGGGTTTTAGGTTTTGTAGAAGTACTTTAAAGAGTTTAAAAGTCAAAAGCACTTATTATCGGTTTCATGTTAATAGGCTTCAAAAGCTGCTTCATATGTTTAAATCTATGAAACAAAATAAAACAAGTCACTGATATCACACCTGAAGTTACGTCTTTCAGCCTGAAACATTTGTCCTGATTGTCTCTTCTCGTCTTCAGTGTCAGTGCTACAACGGCCTGATACTGTCCACAGAGAGCACGGTGGCTCTGTACGGGACGATCACTCCAGTTCCTGAGGGCAAACAGGTAAACACTCCCTCCGGACTGCGATGCACAAATAAGACATTCAAAGACTTAATCGGGTCGTCAGTCACTTCACGTCTTCCTCTCTCAGGCGCCCGGAGGCCACGAGCTGCACTGTGACTTCTGGGAGCTGATCGGCTTAGCTCCAGCGGGCGGCGTCGACAACCTGCTGAACGAAGAGTCGGACGTGGACGTCCAGCTGAACAACCGACACATGCTGATCAGAGGAGAGAACGTCTCCAAGATCCTCAGAGTGCGGTCCGCCGTCATGCAGTGCTTCAGGGACCACTTCTTCAGCAGCGGATACTGCGAGGTGAACGTTGACTCTCGGTACGTGAGGCCACCTCACGATCGCCGACTCCTTGCTGACTGCTGTTTGTTGTGGTTTTTTTTTAGATCACTCCTCCGACCCTGGTGCAGACTCAGGTGGAGGGCGGCTCCACTCTGTTTAACCTCAACTACTTCGGTGAGCAGGCGTACCTGACGCAATCCTCCCAGCTCTACCTGGAGACCTGCATACCTGCCCTGGGTGACACCTTCAGCATCGCCCAGTCGTACCGAGCTGAGCAGTCTCGCACCCGCAGACATCTGTCCGAGTGAGTGTGTAAAAGAGAAATCTAATATTTGGGAATAATAGAATCTCTTAGTTTGACTATTTAAAAATTCAATAATGTTTTTTGTGATCGTTTCATGATTTTTTTTTTTAAAACAAAAAATTGTCTGTGCTCAGGTACACGCACATCGAGGCGGAGTGTCCCTTCATTACGTTCGATGATCTGCTGAACAGACTGGAGGAGCTGGTGTGTGACGTGGTGGACCGCGTGCTCAAATCCCCGGCTGCACAGCTGCTCTACGACATCAACCCGGTACGCTCCTCATCAGCAGACGCAGTTGTTTGGATTTACATGGTCGTGTAATTAAAAATGATCTTTTCTTTGATGCTGGTTTTTATTTTTTAATTAGAACTTCAAACCGCCCAAGAGGCCGTTCAAGAGGATGAACTACACTGAAGCCATCGAGTGGCTCAGAGAGCACGACATCAAGAAGGACGACGGCAGCTACTACGAGTTCGGAGAGGTGACGACTGAACACGACACACAAACTTTAGCGAGACGAGAATATTTGGTTTTGACAGTTTGACTCTCTTAGGACATCCCTGAGCATCCAGAGAGGTTGATGACGGACAGCATCAACGAGACCATCCTGCTCTGTCGTTTCCCCACTGAGATCAAATCCTTCTACATGCAGCGCTGCCCCGAGGACAAGCGCCTCACTGAGTCGGTACGAACCGCAGTCAAACACGAACACAGTTGAACTCTGGGTAATGGTCACTCTAACCCTGCTGTGGGGGGGGGCGTACACATCTGTACCATGTTTTCTGCCTCTGTGGGTCAGTGGGGGGTTAATAGTAGCTTCACGGGACATGTGTATTGTTTGGTGACCCGACTGTCCCACTGAGGAAGTGACCTCTTCGTCTTCTAGGTCGACGTGTTGATGCCGAACGTCGGCGAGATCGTCGGTGGCTCGATGCGTATCTGGGACTCTGATGAGCTGCTGGAGGGATACAAGAGGGAGGGAATCGACCCGACCCCGTACTACTGGTACACTGACCAGGTAAAGGAAAACTGCCTGTGTGTGTCCTTAGCTGTTTTCAGACACACACTCGAGTCTGGACATGTTCCAATTATTTTGATATTTGGCCCAAACACCAAAACGCTATTTTCTGTGACATTTCAGTGTCAGTATTTGTGTGTAGTGTGTTATTAACAAGCTGTTGTGTCGATCCGTGTGTTTCAGAGAAAGTACGGCACGTGTCCTCACGGTGGTTACGGCCTGGGTCTGGAGCGTTTCCTCACCTGGCTGCTGAACAGACATCACATCAGAGACGTCTGCCTGTATCCACGATTCATCCAGCGCTGCCGACCCTGAGCGCTCACACACACACACACACACACACACATTCTGTTATTGCATCTGGATCTGGCTCGTGGGCCATTAAATGTGTCGCTGAATTAAAAAAAAAAAACAAAGAAGTCAATGTTTTATTTCTGCTGAGCTCTGCCTCGTCTGTTTCGTCTTCACTCGTTCTGACTTGAAACGTGAATCTGACCATTTCCTGCCTCTGCTGATGCTCATTGGCCGATTCTCTCACCCGTAATGAACACTGTTGTTTCCTGTGATTGTACAGAGCGTCCGCAAGTCCGACAAAAACATTTTAAAAAACCTGTGTTTTAAGATTTGTGGACAAAAAAAAAATCAAACGTAATAATTTAACATTTTATAATCACAAGATCAAAAAAGTTGCTGTTACACAAACACTGTCCCAACGTGACGTGGTTTGTTTCTCTTGGATCAAACTTTAATCACAAAATTATGCTTTGATGTATCGAGGAAGAAAATTTAAAAAGTCGATCATTGAGTGTTCGTCTTTGCTGGGTTTGAAAATGTGACTTCACCCTCGGAACGTGTCGTCTGTTTCTCTGTTCTGCTGCTTCATCTGGAAAACTCAATAAACTGCACTTGAATCAATCAAACGGTTTTGAGGAGCTGGTTCTTCAACTTCTGACTCAACTTCAAACATTCTTCTCTTCAGATTGTAATCAGATTACTTTGTTGCTCCTCCCTCTCTCCTCTTCATCACTTTCATCCAACCCTTCATTCACACACACACGGTGCTACTATGTAATTCAGACCAACGTAGAACATTAAAAGTATTGCATATATGATGTAATGCATCATGTGCAATAATGTGCTTTAATTGTGAGTAAGTTATGAAAACAGGTCTATACCTGGTGGGTAAACTGTTCATTCATAAATAAAGTTCAGCTCAACAAGTTTCACACTGCAGCAGCTGCACTAACGTTATTTCTGAACCAATAATCTAATAAAACATTAATATTGAAGTTACTCACAGTGACGTAGTCAAATAGGTTGGCGAGCTGAACAACTTTACATAACGTTAAATATCTAACTTGATGATATTCACTAAACACACAGTCGCCTTCAGTTTAAAAGACTCTAACGCTCCTCTCTCCGCTGTGTGGACGCTTCATGTCGGGTTAATAACTCCCGTCCCTCCCGTTAGCATCGCCGTTACTGCTGGTYTCTTYCCTGGAGGTTAGCGGAGCTAAGCTAACCAGCCAGGTACAGACACAATGATACCTGCTCATCACTACTGACACGTCAATCAAAGACAGTACTTCACTCACCACAGACACTGCAGCACAGACGTCTTCCACTTCTCCGTCGGGACAATCAGCCGAACAACAAACGATGATATTCATCCGACATGTGAGTGAAAACTCCCCCGCAGACTCCGCTCGTGCTCGGTGACGAGGATTAGCCTGTTAGCTCAGGTGAAGCCGAGCTAACAGGCTAACAGGCTAACAGCCAGAGCTAACGGTGACGTCACGTGTCAATCAAGTGATAATTATTCACAGTTTCAAACCTCTGTATTATCTAAACGAGCGCGTTAGAAACACATCCCCCCCCAGAGTTCTCTGGAGGAAGAACTTACTGACTGAGACTAAACCCGTGTTTTGGCTGTAAACACGTTTAATTCTGCTCTGAAGTCGGGCTTCTTAACATGGAGCCTGCCTCAAGTGGCCACCCAGTGAACTGCAGCTGTTTGCACTTCCGCATTGGCCTCAGCGCTCAGCCCGGGACGCTTGGTTACGTCACAACCATAGACTGTCACAACCCTGAGATTTTATCTTGAAATCCTTCCACCGGAAGTTCCTGTAGTGACCAGGCTGAAGGTTGAAGGAGCCGGAGACACACGAACGAGCAAGCGGGCACATGAACGAGCAGCGCGTCACCTGAGGAGGCAGCACTCGTGGATCCAGCGGCTCCTCTCCCCGGACTCCAGCTTCTCCTCTCCGGGCTCCAGCTTCTCCTCTCCGGGCTCCAGGCTTCTCCTCTCCGGGCTCCAGCCTCTCCTCTCCCCGGACTCCAGGCTCCTCTCCCCGGACTCCAGACTTCTCCTCCCCGGGCTCCAGGCTTCTCCTCCCCGGGCTCCAGCSMCTCCTCTCCCCGGGCTCCAGCCGCTGGTTGGCGGCAGCAGGTGTTAGCATGATGGCGGTGCTGGGCAGCGCCGGTCGCTTCCTCCACAGTGAGTGAACACAGCAGCTGGAGTTCGGCGGGGTGTCTGAGGACTCGTCCCCCGCAGATGATGCGTGTCTCTCGGCCTCTCAGTCGCGGTTTGTTCGCGGAGTTCGTGAACTCGGTTCTTCAAGAGACGTGAAGCTAGCGGGGGAGGAGACGCTCTGTTTCCTGTCAGCGCTTTCACAGTAAATCTTGTCTCGTAAACTCACGGGTTATTAAATGTGTGAAATCAACTCGTTTCACTCCAGAACGTTTCGAACGCTCCTTCCTCGTGTTTCGGTTTCGTTCGGCGCCCTTGTTGTTTGTTTTTTATCGTAACCGGCCGGAACGATTACAACCCAACGTGCTTTTATTCCAAAGACAGACCTTCATCGGTTTCCGGTCCGTTGCTAACGCGCGCAGCTTTGTCGCAGCTCCACATGACTTTGACAGTTTAACGTAAACATTACGTCACGGATTTAACGGGTTTAACAAGCGATCGCAGGTTCCGGTAACGCTCCGCTCAGCCGGTTACCGGAGCGGGAAGCTACCGAGCAGTTTGACAGTTACACAATTCCAGCGCTGTCAACTTGTGTAATGTTTGCTGGGGGCCCCTGGTGGCGCGTCAGGGGACTGCAGCATTATGAAAGAGAGTGTGTGTGTGTGTGTGTGTGTGTGTGTGTGTGTGTGTGTGTTTTATTATATGACAACCTGAGAATAGAGGAAACACTGAAAACACAAACTGATTCACCAACTAACCACAAACTAAAGTGTTAAATCGTGTTAATTGAATATAATTAACATCATTGATTTGTGTTTTCTCTCTCTGTGATAAACATCTTTAAGTTTGTCTTTTTTTTTTAAAGTTGGGCCTCTTAAGCAGGAGTTGCTACATTCGTCATTAGAAACCTTGATGGTTGTAAATGAAATAAAATGTGTTCGTGAGAGAACTCAAAATGTAAGTTCTTTGAGTTTGTTCCTGCTTCCACTCCTCCACCGTGTTTTGTGGAAATCAGGGAAAGTGAAACCTTGGATGGAACTAATGATATGAAATGTGTGTCGATAAAGAAACGTGTGAGTAACTTGTTTTTCCTCTTGTTTAGTTGCCAGGAGCAGCGTCGGTCTGGGTGTGAGGAGACGCTCCACCGCTGCTGCGTTAGCACAGACTGCAACTCCAGAGACACGGGAGAACAGGTGACACCCACACACACACTCACTCACTACTACACCGAATTAAACAAAACTGCACTGAAGTTCAGACGTGTTCCTGGCGTGTTCCTGTTCTTGTGAATGAGTCAACAATCTGCTGCTTGACACACACTGACCACACGTCTGAAGACAGCTTTAGATCTTTGACACAACAACTGTCACTCGTCTGTCCGGCTGTTGTTGAGCATCTGTGTTTGGCGGCCGCCGTTGTCGTGGTAACAGACTCTGGTCGGCTCTTCGTGGCTCCTTCAGCCAAATCTCCCCGTTGATGAAGCAGAACTGCACAGACTGACAGTAGCTTTTAAAATGCATCACACATTATTATTCTTATTCTTATTATCAGACAGTGATGATCAATAAACCAACCATCAGACGAATCTCATGTTTCTGCAGGAAACCGAAGACGGGCATCCTGATGCTGAACATGGGAGGACCCGAGAAACTAGAAGACGTTCACGACTTCCTGCTGCGACTCTTCATGGACACAGACCTGATGAAACTCCCTGTGCAGAAGTACGACACACACACACACTCACACACAGTTTTTTTTTTTTGTTTCTGAATTGATGTCACTAATCTGTTCATTTACAAAACTCTGAACAAAGACTTGGTTGTTTTTTGTTTCTCAGACTTTTGTCATAAATTATTGTTGGACTTATCGTCCTCGTGATGTTTTTCTCTGATCACTGAGATGTTCATTGGCGTTCCTAAAAAGCTTTAAAGCTCTTAAATTTAATTTGATGAACTCGTTATAAACTGATTTTAATTGAAACTTTATTCAATAATTCATCTCAAGTGTTTTTCTCTCTCTCTCCCTCTCTCTCTCTCTCTCCAGTAAACTCGGCCCGTTCATCGCCAAGCGTCGCACGCCAAAGATCCAGGAGCAGTACAGTAAGATCGGAGGAGGCTCGCCCATCAAACGCTGGACCTCCATGCAGGGGGAGGGGATGGTGAAGCTGCTGGACGAGATGAGTCCAGAGACGGGTGAGGCATTCTGGGGAGTTAAATTTCAAAATAAAGCAGGACGGTTGTGTTTTCTGTGTGTGTGTGTTTCTCTCTCTCTCTCCATCTGTGTATGTGTGTGTGTGAGAGAGGGAGATAGCGACTCGGTGAAGGAGTTTCTCTTCACGCCTTAAACACACCTCACTGATAAGAGCGTGAACAGTGAGCAGCGGTTTGAAAACTAACTGTTCAAATACAAACATGTAAATAAACAAGATAAAATACTTACACGATGGACAGTAGAGTCACAGGGTAACTTATGTTTGAGACATTTAAAATGTATACAACCGATAATAAAAAGATTGAATCAAGAGAATGAAGATGAGTCTTACCGACTCTGTCTGTCTTCGTCCTCAGCTCCTCACAAGTTCTACATCGGTTTCCGGTACGTTCAACCGCTGACGGAGGAAGCCATCGAGGAGATGGAGAAGGACGGAGTGGAGAGAGCGGTGGCCTTCACACAGTATCCTCAGTACAGCTGCTCCACCACAGGTCGCACACACACACACACACACACACACACACACACACACACACACACACACACAGAGCTAAAGAGAATCAAACTGAAAACAGAGTTACTTCATTTTGTTCTTTGTGATGTAAACAGGAAGCAGTCTGAACGCCATCTACCGTTACTACAGCAACAGAGGAGACAGACCCAAGATGCGCTGGAGTGTCATTGATCGTTGGCCCACACACCCACTGCTGGTGGAGGTGAGACACACACACACACACACACAGACTCGGACAAGAAGTTGTCATAGCAACAAATGGTTGGTCGTCATAGTGACTAATAAGTCTTTTTATGTGTTTGTGAAAATTATAGTCTTGACGTGTGTGTGTGTGTGTGTCTGTGTGTGTGTGTGTGTGTGTGTGTGTGTGTGTGTGTGTGCAGTGTTTTGCAGAACACGTCAGTAACGAGCTGCTGAAGTTTCCAGAAGAGAAACGAGACGACGTCGTCATTCTGTTCTCGGCTCACTCGCTCCCCATGGCTGTGAGTACTGATGATGTAATGATTCAGACTCAACTCTGACGACGGAGTCTGAAAGTTCTGTTGACACAGATACTTCTGAAACTGATCACAGATCAGTGACGTGATGAGACTCGCCGTGTGCGGCATCGTCAGTTAATGCTAAACCACGTTTTTTACTTTTACCTCCACGAAGAAACCAACTTTAAATGACAGCTGTTGATGAATAATGCTTTTAGTTATAGATTCATTTATAATTAACAGATTTAAATTAAGTCTCTATTCTGTTCTATTCCATTTTATTTGTATTCAGTGTTTTTAACCACACAGACGTCACATTTCAAAGCCCAGCTCCTCTTCGCAGTATTACCGATGACGTTACGACTGCAACGACTAAGTTCTGCTGCTGATGATAAAACCATTGTTACTGCTGCTACTACAGTACCTGCTGCTTAAACTATGTACAGCCTGGTAGTATTATTACGAGTACTCGCTGACAGCTCTACTGTTGCAGGTCGTAAACAGAGGTGACCCGTATCCTCAGGAAGTGGGAGCCACAGTTCAGAGAGTCATGGAGAGACTGGGACACTGTAACCCCTACAGACTGGTGTGGCAGTCCAGAGTGAGTACACACACACACACACACACACACACACACACACACACACACACACACACACACACACACACACACTACAAGTATTTAATTGTGACAAGTATCTGTTTCGGCCACAAGATGGAGCCACTTGTCTGTGTAATCCTGCAGCAGCTCCAGGTCCTCTGGTCTCAGACACCAGGTTCAATGTTCTCAGATCAGAGGACGACCAGGACGTGATGTTTTTATATCTGTTAAAGTCTCTGAGGACATCTTGCTCAGGACTGAAAGGTTTAGACCAGACGACAATCTGCCGTCTCTATCGTCCTCACCTCAACGTCCTGCGTCTGTCTCTCAGGTGGGGCCGATGCAGTGGCTCGGCCCTCAGACGGACGACGTGATTAAAGGTCTGTGTGAACGGGGAAAGAAGAACATCCTGCTGGTTCCCATCGCCTTCACGTCCGACCACATCGAGACGCTACACGAGCTGGACATAGAGTACGGACAGGTGCTGGGGGAGGAGGTAAGAGTCGGACTTGTGTCTGTGTGAGAGAGAGAGAGAGAGAGAGAGAGAGAGAGAGTGTAAAGGCACACCAGAGAGGCAGCCACAAATCAATGTGACTGGTGCCACAAAGACACAAACAGCCGTTTGTACGTCTGTGCGTGTGGAAAAACATGTCCTCACTTTTCAAAAATGTCCTCACGGTCAATTTTTAATACTGGACGGATCCTCTTAAGGACAGAAGACACACACACACACACACACACACATTCTGTTTTCGGTGGGATATGTGAATCTGTGCTGTGGTTTTTCTCTCGTCAGTGTGGCGTGGAGAACATCAGGAGAGCGGAGTCGTTGAACGGGAATCCTATTTTCATGAAGGTACGTTTTCCAAAGCAAACTGTGAATAAAAATGGACGACAGAAAAAGAAAGGATGGAAAGAGGGAGAAAGATAATGACGAAAAGGAGGAGGGAAGCTTCTGTGAAGTGAAGTGAACTCCAGGAAGGAGATGGTGTATAGATCCTCACCCACTTCCTCACCCCTTTCTCTCCCTTCTTTCCTTCCTGTCTTACCTCTTCTCCTTCCTTTCATCCTCAACCCCACAACCTTTCTCACAACAGGCACCTCCAGCTGTGTGTGTTGGGTTTATTAAAGTGAGGGGGCAGATCAATGGGAACCTTTAAAGCTGACTACAGTAGAACTGAAGCGCCCGGCTGACTCGCTGGTCAAACCTGCCGCGCTCGGAGACCTCTCACCAAGTCTGTGTGTGTCTGTGTGTGTGTGAGAGAGTGAGAGTGTATAAATCAATATCCAGAGGATGATTAGTTGGTAGTTACTGAAGGATGGTTTCCTCGGTGTGGTTTTCGTTTCTCGTGAGCTGCATCAGTCTCCTGCCGTCTGCAGCTGCAGCGTCTGGAAGATGGAGAAAATTACGGCTCAGAGTCCGGTCGATGTCGGGGGTTAATTTTTTTGATTAAATCCCCCTGTTAGATTACAAACTTGTGGTTTAGTCTCACCCCTGATTCTCTCCTTCTTCATCAGTTCTCCTCCTGATGTGAAGAACAACAATGAGGAAATGACTGAACCTCAGCGAACTCCTCCGGAGTTTCTGTCTCAGTCTCAAGTCTTCTTCAAACAGCTGACGTTCATTTATCAATCATGATCATTCAGAGTCAAACAGACCAGAGGGGTGGAGCCCACAGTGTGATTGACAGCTGGTGACATCCAGCGGGTGCAGGTTAGGGGCGTAGTCGTGAAAAAACAGAACCAAGATGGCGCTGGACCAAAACTCAAACTGAGGCTTCAGACCAGCAGCTCACAAACCAACGGCTGACGTCACAGAGTCTCTCTCTCTCTCTCTCTCTCTCTCTCTCTCTCTCTCTCTCTCTATTGATTGTGTGTGTCGTTTGTCCTGTGCAGGCGCTGGCCGACCTGGTCCAGTCTCACCTGAAGTCCAACGAGCCGTGTTCCCGTCAGCTGACCCTGCGCTGCCCGCTGTGCACTAACCCCACCTGTGGAGAGACCAAGGCCTTCTTCGCCAGCCAGAAACTCTCATAGAAACACACACACACACACACACACACACACACACACACACACACACAGGCCTTCAACAAACAGAAGCTTCTCTCAAAGTTTCTCCCGCAGGAGTCAGGATAATGAACAATGTGACGTGAAGAACAGAACAAATAGTTTCTGCAAATACATCAAGACTTCTTTTTTTTTTTTTTGTACCGTGGATGGGAGGAGTCTGAATATTTTTTATTTCTCCCAGTGAAGATCGACGTCTTGTAGTTTAAACACCGGACGCACTGAAAGCATTAAGAAGTCCTGCTCTCGAACCGAGAGGTCCTTGAATAAAGAAATGTGTGAGTTTAACAGAAACTCTGAGGATTTGCAGAAACTATTAGACGAGCGTTTGCGTAGAAAGAAGAAGTGACGCTCTTCAGAAACTGTTCATTTCACATCCCAGCTTCATACAAACAAGCGTTGCACTAGTTTTTTATTTTTTTTTTCTGTTTACTTCGTTTCCTTTGCTTACATTCCGTTCGCTCAGCCCCTGCAAACCTCTATCAGAGACCCTGTTTTACTTGTCGCTGGTGCTAAATCAATAACAGTCTATCACGACGACTCTGTCGCCGCCGCACATGGGATCTGGTTGGTTGGCTGTTCCTCTTCCTCGCCTTCTCGCACACGTCGCCGGCCCTCCCGCCACTAACCCCGCCCATTCTGCTGAAATCCCTTCAATGTGATTGGTGAAGGTGGGTGCTGCTCCAACGCTGCTGCCCGATTGGTGAGTTCAAGAGCGAGAAAAGGCGGGAATAGTGATTCAAACGAATTCGTCGAAGTCGCGACGCACAGATTTATTCACGTGAGCGTTTGCGTCCGTCACCGCGTTAAACCGCCATCGATGTTGGTGCTGAATAGAGCTAACGACTAGAAAGAGGCGTGATTTCCACTGCGAGTCAGAGGGTAGCTGTCGCTCAGGGGTCGGGACTCTCCGGCTGACGTGAAATAACGTTGGGGTGTCTAATGCTGCTCCGCTCGCTCGGGACGAGACTTTGATGTGTGTAAAATATCAAAGTCAAATCTTCCACTATTCACAGGCAGTTACTTGACCTCTGACCCCCCCCCCCCATTCCTGCTGTTTTCTTAATCCATGACAATGTGCCTTTTACACCGGCTAATTAGAAATACAGGACTTTGTGCTTAATGTACGTTTCATATGTGCAACACTGACTTTACAGTTTCCTGCTGTGATCGGAGCCAATGACGGCTCCTGAGTGAGGTTTAGATCCACGCTGGATTCACGACAGTTGTTCAGACAGATCCTGACATTTTCTTGAGAGTCTGTGAGAACGCACGTGTCCGAGTCTGTTGCTGCCGACACTTTCCCTTTTTTTTTTTTAAATGTCAGCCCATGTGACAGTGCAGTGTAGGGAGCGTTAGCCTGTTGATGTTGACGGACGTGAAACTAGAAGAACACCAACATCTCAAGATGAAGACGTCCACGTGGAAAGACGAGGAGGTTCCAGATGTTTTGGTGATGAGGGCCGACGCCGGCGTGGACGAGCTGTAAACAACAACACTGATCTTTACACGGCGCAATTTATACGACATGTCCCGCCTCCTGCTGCTCTACAGGCCCCGCCCCTCGCCTGAATGTCCCCCGCATGTTGTTGTGAACGAGTCGAACCCGGACGAACTCCGGAAACAATCTTCCAGATATTTTCTGGATCTCAAACTCGTCACAGTGTGAAAAAAAACTCAAACAATAGAAATCTGATCTTCACTCAAACTGAAAATCAAAAAAGAGAAGAACGTGAGGCTCCGGCAGGAAACATGTTAAAGTCAGTGAGGCTGGATTTTCCTGCACAAATGTGTTTTTCTAATTTATTTTGAATTCTCACGTGTATCTGCTGTTTTGAGAGTTTTGCTCTGAGTGTGTGTGGAGCTGAACGTTGTCGTGTGTGTACAGAAAACTAAGAAGCTTCAGCTTTGTTGCAGCTCCAGTATATTTTGGGTTGTTTGGATTTATTTATTTCAGTTGTCTGTTCACTGTCTTTTTTTTTTGACATGATACTAACAGTGCGATTACACCCAACCAAGAGTCTTCCTGCAAAATGAAATGGAATAAAAAGAGAAAGTAACCAGGTGTTGGTCCGTGTGGCTTCTTAACGAGTCCGTTCACTGAGCGGCTGCACGAATGTGAGTGTGACCAAAAATGCTGGTCGCAGGTCACATGGTGAGACTCACACACACGATTCAGCGTCACACACATCGTGAACTGGTTGTAAACATCTTTTTTTCTCGACGGGGCGGAGTCGGTGTAAAAGTGTGGAGCTGCTGAAACACTCGACCAATCAGGAGTCAGGTCGTTAAGACCCGTTATTATATAATCAAGTAATTAATTAAAACCAGACTCATCAGAAACACGAACACGTCGACGTGATAAGAACGAAAAACGGATCCATTAAAATGTCCCATCTGCTAACATGGAGGAGGCAGGGTTTATGATCTGTACTGCAGCCAGCCACCAGGGGGCGATCAGGATGATCAGGCTTCACTTTTCTTTGCTTCCTTCAGGTTCTAGTTTTTCCTCTTTCTTTCTTTCTCTAACCCTTTGTCTGTTTTTCACCTCTTTTCCTTTTTCCCACCTCCCCTCATTCTCATCTCTTTCATCATTAACCTCTTCTTTCTCCTCACATCCTTTCCCTCCTTCTGTATCTCTCTATCCTTATCTTTTCCAATCTTCTGTCCTCCCTCTCATCCCTCCACCCCATCTCTCTTCATCCTCACCCCCTGTTCTTCCCCCCTTTTCCAATCTTTTCCTCATCTTCCATGTCTGTCCTCCACCTCCTCCCCTCCACACCTTCCCATTCATTCGTATCTCGTTCTCTCCCCCGCCTCCTCCCTCCATCTCTTTTTTTTTTCCCAGCAGTCCCCTGCGGTGTTGCAATCACCTCTGCTGCTGTTGATTAAGCTGAGAGAGATTGGCTGTCCACGACCCAATAACCCCTGAGGGCGCCTCCCCTCTTTTCTCCCCTCCGACCCCCCATCAGAGCCAGCTACAATCCCTCCGTTCAATTCACCCTCTTCTTTTTTCCTCCTCACCTTTTCTCCTGTTCTCCTCCCTGACCTTTTCATCTCTCTTCCTTTTTCTCTTGTCTCCTTGTTTTGTCTCCTCTTTTCATCATCACTCCATCCTTTTCCTCTCCTTGTCTCCTTGTCTCCTCATCTCCTCTCAACTGGCAGAAAACGGAAAAGTTTCAATATCTTGCAGTTTTAAAGAACAGGACAGGACGTTCCCCTCCTCACCACTAGATGCCACTAAATCCTACACAGTGGAGCTTTAATGCTGTGCTTCAGCGCCACCTAGTGCCACAGAGCGAAGAAAAGAAAATACATCCAGTCACCTGCAAAAAGTCTTTAACTTCTAGAACTCTTAAAACGTTCAAGTCTTTCTAAAATCTTTTCTCTTTTTCTGTCGGCCAAGCAGCTCTGTGGGGGAGGGGCTGTGTGTGTGTGTGTGGGGGGGGGGGGGGGGGGGTGACTTCAGGCTGCTTGTAATTGAAAAGCCGACGCGAGCGCCTGCAACCCCCGTGACCTCCTATTTAGAGAACGACCATTGATTTCTACAGAGAGAGAGAGAGAGAGACACAGAAATTGGAAAAAAAATTGGGAGAAGATGGAAAGAGGAAGAGGAATGAAAGACAACAGGGAGGAAGAGGAAGATAAAAGTTAGAGGGAGGCAACAGAGGTGAAGTGGGAGGGATGAAAGGAGGAGAGAGAGATGGAGGGATGGAGACAAAGGAAAGAAAGCGAGGAGGCAGAAGGACGGATAGAGAGAGTTTGATTTTGAATTCAAACAATTCGTTTAAAGTCACTTTCTATAGACGTCTATAGAAACTGTGCCCCCTGCTGGTCAGTCCATAGAAGACAGGTTTCCAGAACAGTCACATGCTCACGTCTGTTCCCGTCACATATTTTCTTCTCTGGATTTTCAGGTTCGTCTCATGACGATAATCTTCCGTGTTTGAGTCCGGAGCGACAGATTCCAGGATATTTAATCAAAAGGTATTTATGACTCACATCAGCCTCCGACGTGACCGCGGGGTCGAGTCCACGCTCGTCTGCTCGGAGCGATCAGAGTAAAACCTGATTCTGCCACAGCTAACGTTTCCCCCGCAGGCCGTCTGTGTCACGTTCAAGAACGCCGTCGTTTCCCCAACTTTAAAAAAAATCAGTGGTTCTTTGGTTTCCCACGCTCTGGCCTCCTTATCGGGCCTCTGACCCGCAGGCAATAGAAAGACAACGCTGGCAGATTAACAGAGACAGGATGGACCGCTGTTTCCCTGGCAACAGGGAGAGGAGCGAGTGATTGAATGGGGTGAGGAAGAGGAGGGTTGAAGGGGAGAAGTGACAGGTTGTATTGAAGAGGAGGAGATGGAACGCTGGTATGAAAACACACAGAGAGACGAGAGGAAGGAGAAGACAGTAGGTGACGGAGGCGTTAAAGCAACGTTTTTATCTTAAAACAGATTCTTGACTAAAAGGATTTTTTTGAATTTGTCCACGTTCTCTGAGGACACGAGGAAGAAAAAGTCAACAATGGAAGAACTCTTTAAAGATACTTTGCTAGTTTTTAACTGAAACTTCGCCCGGTAACATCGATAACTTCGGCCTTTCTTAAGAGGCACACTGCCCTCTAGTGGACATTTTACTGAACAACCATGCAACAACGTGAAGTTTTCACACAAGCAGCAGAAACGAGACGTTGAAAAAGTAGAAACTCTGAGCACATGAAGCTGCGGCTGATTCTCATCAGAGTTTTTTGAGTAAAGAAAACACACGCGGAGGATCGGCTGTACATGGATAAGACCATTGTGATTTCTTTATTGACTTTTTTTTTTTCGTCTTTTATACATAGAGTGGAACAACATTAATTCTCCAAATATCTCCTTCATGTTTGATCATCGTTTTATTCCACACCACAAGTTTTCAGTCACTTCTCTTTTCTGTTCCAACCAAATGTAAAAAAATAAAAATGCATAATTTGATTTTTGATTACTGTACGACAACGATGAAAGAAAATGTAAAAAACAAAAAAACGAAAAAAACAACAGTGAATGGAAAGGAAACAACGACTGATGGGTTTTCGTTGGGAGAGAATGATTGGATCATTTGTTCAGACGTTCGGGGAGAAAACACTTTGATGAAACTTTGATTTCAGTGAAGTTAAAAAATCATTCTGTTCAAACAAACACTTTGACCTCTGACCTCTCACTGTTGTTATTGCTGATGATCAAATTAAAACTGTGTTTTTTTTAAATGCAGTTTAACAAATGTAAAGATTCGTTCAGCTGCTAAGATCCAGAAATATGATGCAAATTTATCTTGTTACACACAAAAAAAAAATAATCTGGATTCTGGATTAATGTGAAGCCGTGTCGATGTTTGATGCTCAGACGCTGATCAGGGATGGAAGACGTGTACGACTGGAAGTGCTTTGTTTTTAACTAACACTATTTAAACTTTAAATACTTTTGGCCTTTGGTCAAACTCGTTGACCTCGAAAGCTTGAAGTGACGCTAGCATCAAAACGTTAACGCTTATTAAGCGTCAGTTGTTTTTTCTTCTCCGTCAGTAATCGTGAGGCTGGACTCAGGGAACTGTAAGAAAATCATCTTTTCGTTATCGGGAGTTTGAGATCGATTTGTTCATCTGCTCATTTGTTCCTTCGTTCCTTGTTCGCATTGTTCAAATATGAAGTTGTCACTTTACGCCCCCTAGAGGCTAAAACCTTCCACTTTCCCACTTTAAAATGGTTTAAACCACAGCGTATAATTTATCTGCCCAATCCAGACCATTCACCTCGGGTTCTTCATGTGTTTGTTTTGTTTTAAAAATCATTTCATCGTTTTACTTCACCTCTGAATAACGTCACTTTCTCTTTGGGATTTTCAGGTTTGGGAGACGTCGTGTTCAGGAGTGAACCTTCAGACGGACCAGGTCGGTGCAGCTGCGCCATCGTGTCGCATTTTAAATGTCTCATAAATCCCGTGTGTCCTCGTTCAACCGACAGAATTCATGTTAAATGTCGTGGTTCCTTCTCGCTGTGACGCGTCACGTTTTATCTCAGCAGGTCAAAGGTCAGACTAATGCAACGTAAAGCTGTGCGGTCGAGCATACAGAGTGTGAAATGAAATGAGAGGGTGCTAATGATGAGATTAATAATAAGAATCACAAGGCATTACACGGCTAGCTAATCGTAAATATACTCATGCATAAAATCTGGGCTATAGCGCGGCTGTGTGGTGATGAAGCTGTGATGATTCAAATTTAAAAGAACGATGCAATCAGGTGAAACGTGGTCGGATTTAAAATGAAATCAGTGGATCAGAGAAGCCGGTATTATTCTGGCATCATTCCAACAATGTTCCCGATCCCAAAATAAAAAGTCCACATGAGGAAACAGCGCCCCCTTCTTCAAAATAACCCAAAAACATAAAAGAAGATTTTGAAAGAATAAATCCGTCCGTCCGCGGCAGCTGGGACGGAGAGAAGACAGTAATACATCAACAAGAGAGAGAGAGAGCATAGAAGAAGACAAGCATTTCTCATTTTTGGTTTTAGCGCACCTTTTTAACGATTAGAAAAAAAACAACTTAAAAATGTATAAAGCTTTTTTTCCCACATTTGTTTCATTTTTAAGTTACAGTCACCAAAAAAAAAAAAAAAAAAAAAAGGAAGAAGAGCAAATGAATAATTTATGACATACGCTATTATAACATCCTACCACTAGTGTCTATGAGGTATATCTGCAACAGTTCGGTAAAGAGCACGGTCTGCGCACAACGCTCACACGCTTGTCTCCATGGTTTCATCATTTAAAGCTTTGCAACCATTTGAAAGAAGAAGAGGAAGAGGAGGAGGAGGGGGGGGCGGAGTTTCCACGTATTTATCTGTGTTGAAATACATCATGTTTGTACAAGTACAAGATGAGGACACAGTATTGTGGTAAATGAATTCAGTGATTCAGCCGAGACGGACGAGCTCTTGATTTTTCAGTTGCTCGACAGTTTTCAGTCTGCGTCGCTGTCGTCTCATCGTCTCACCAGAGTCTGCGTTTAAACAGTTCCTCCTTCGA